AAAAGGTCCTATGATTTCTGGCCCCTTCCCACTACTCCATCCTCATCTCACTGTTTTGTGCTCTACCCAGAGTTGTGGTCTTCAAGTTCCTTCAACCCAAGTTCCTCCTCCCACCTCCAACCATTTGTATACCTGCCCAGGACCACCTTTCAGGCACACACCTTGGTGTGGACACATCCTGACTCTCCTCCTATAAGACTTAGTTTAAAACTCACTTCCTTAGAGAGATGCTCACTGAATATCCTTTCACAAGTAGGTTTCTGGCTGGGTGTGGTGGCTCAAACCTGTAATCCCAGCACTTTGGGAGGTCAAGGCAAGAGGATTACCTGAGCCTAGGAGTTTGAGACCAGTCTGGGCAACATAGTGACACCTCATCTCTGCAAAAACTTATAAAATTAGCTGGGCATGGTGGCACATGCCTGTAGTCCCAGCTACTCAGGAGGCTGAGGTGAAAGAATCGCCTAAGCCCAGAGACTGCAGTAAGCCATGATCATACCATTACACTCATGCTTGGGTGATAAAGTAAGACAAAAAACAAAACAAACAACAACAAAAAAGGAATCCTCATGTTAATCACAGTATCTTCCTGGTTTCCATCAAAACAATCATTAAAATGTATAAGGTTTCTAGTCATACCTTATTTATGCTGTTTCCCTCAACTAGATGGCCAGATCCACAGGGTAGCAACCATAGCTGTCTTATTCATTACTGTTTTTCCAGCATCTCACCAAGAACTTAACCATTTGATGAAAGAATAGACAAATAAGTAAAGAATGACTGAATGGACAAATGAATGAATGAAAGTCCTAGTAGCACAAGAAAGAGATATATCAGATCCTCACTCATAGGAGCTCTAAATGGAATTAAAAGCACTAGTAGGTATCCCTGGATAGGGAGTATAAAAGAAAATCTCCAGTGTGTATAGAAACCTCCACTTTATACATAGCCCAGAGTTCCTTCCTTTTCTTCCTTCATAGTCACTGGGTTTCTCTTGCCCCAGGACAAGCATAGGTCTAGCATCCAAACCCTGTCTGCTAACAGAAGGCAAGAAAGGCATGAGCTCCCCCATCAATATAAAACATCTACTTCCTCATTCTTCCAGAGGGGAGACATGACAGGGAGTTCTACTGACTCGTCTAGCCCTGCTTCTATTCGTAAGAAACCCTTTCCTCATGTCTGCATGCTCTGGGATTCATGTCTGTACTCACCCTAACATCATCCATGTGCTGGTGGCATACAGCTACAATTCTTCATTTTGAACAGGATGTATCTACTAGCATCATAGCCTCATGCCAAAACTTCTTAATGCCACATCTGTATGTTTATAGGTTCTAAAAATTTGCATATGTTTTCAATCAAAAAAGACTTATTCTTTTCTAGTGGTTTAAGAAATAAAAACTTGTGTTCTATGACTGCTCAATTACAAGAGTTCACAGTAAGAGCTCGAACATTCAAATGTCAAGGCAGATGTGGCACTGAATCTCACAAGGAGCCTCCGTGTGCTCTCCCACTCCCCACTTCCTACTTTCACAAGCCAAAGTGCCTCCTGGGGAGCCAAGGAAAGTACCATCATACCATGCAAATGAAGAGTTATTTGCTGACACAAATGACTTCCACATCAAGTGTACTTTCTCTAAGGAAAGCTATAGGGAATTGAGAAGCTGCTTTCCTGCATTTTGCAAAGCAAGGTAGAAAATATAGTTAGGGGCCAGGAACTGTGGCCCATGCCTATAATTCCAGCAATTTGGGATTGCTCAGTAGGAGGACTGCTTGAGCTCAGGAGTTTGTGACCAGTCTGGGGACCCTGTCTCAAATAAAAAAAAAAAAAAAAGGAAAGAAAAGAAAAGAAAATATAGGTGGGGCTCCAGGAGCACCTTTTCACAATCAAAAGTGTGGGGGGGGGGGCTGGTAAGAGGTAAGTGGTTGAATATGCATAGCAGGGATGCCCATGAGGGCAATAACTTTCTGGAAATGTCATCCCATGGAGTCTCTAGAAGAAAACCAGAACTATAAGGCAGGTCACAGGTAAATCCTAGGCACAGGAAAACAGGGATGTGAATGAGCCAACAGGAAGGGGCATATAGAGAGAAGTCAGAGGCAGAATATAGGACCATATGGTGGATCTAAGCAGCACAGACTACATAATCTGTGGGACTCTGGGCAAATGAAAAGATGGAGCTCCTTGTTTGAAAAACATTATGAATTTCGAGATAGCAACAGCAGAGCTTTCACCTGAGAGTGGAGCCCTTCTAAGTGCAGGGCCCTGTCAATGGCACAGGTCATATGCTGATAAAGCTGGGCCTGGGTGTGAGGTTTAAGAGGGGAAAGGCTAGCTCTAGGGGCTGTCAAATGCTTTAGAAAAGCAAACTTTCCCCAGTCCGCTGTGTGCTTGGAAAACAGCACCCTTAAATGATCATAGTGAGACAAATAAATCATGCCTGGGCTAGTATCTAGAAGTGGCAAAAATGGGAGGAACTGTTGGGGTTGTTATACTCATTCCAATTTGTAGTAATTTTTAGAGCGACTTTTCCTAACTTACAATTCATTTCAGCACCAAAACTCCAGACTCAACTCATTGTCTTCTGATGCTATTATGAGCATATTACTGATGTCTAGTAAAATCACATCTTGTAATGTTTCTTTTACAGAGGTCATAAATCAAAACATTCTAAACAGTTAATTTTTAATGCACAGCTATTATCCTTCTTTAGTTATAAATTTAATGTCTCCTCAGGACTCACAGATTGTAATGCAAATCAAAACATGCAATGGCTGTTCAGAAATAGAAGGTTCCCCCAGTATCTCATTATTTAAATCCTTAAAGATATGGTTTTAAAGGCCTGAGGATATCTAAGCAAACTTGTTTAAAGGAGTCATAAAGAAAGATAAGCAGTTTTCCTCTGAAGCCTGTAAAATTTATTACAGCATATTAAAGTAGGATTCTATATTGACCAATTTTCTAAAAAACATTTGTTTTCTGGGGTGATGGTGTTTGAGGAAATTCACAAAGACATAAAGGGGATACAGGCTTAAGAGAATTGTCTACCTTTTCTTAAGCAAGGCAAGATTGGGTCATGGAGTCAATTCCATCCTGAAGCTAACAACTCTGTTCATATCTCATGAAACAGCATAACAGGTGTCATGAATTTTGTGAAAGACCAATAAAAATCTTCATTATTCAGGAGGAGACACAAGTGCAGCCCAGTACCCTGACACCTGTTATGGCAGAAGTGACTTCAGAGAAGAGCCCCAAGTAGGTGTGATACTTCTTAAGACAACTCCCAAACTCTTAGAACTTTCCCCTGCCTACTGGTTCCATGCATGTTTTGGGCAGGTTTCCCATGTTTGTTTCTTAATAGTATAAAGTCCTTTCTTCACTTCATATTGCTTTATGTCATTTGCCCTTTCATTAGCTTTTTTGTGTGAGTAAATGCAATGTTTCACTCAAAGTTTTCTCTAGATAGGGCAAGAGTCTCTCAGAACATCCGGAATAACTCTGGTTTCCCATCTCCTTCCTTTTTGATGGACTTTGTATCTAGAAGTGTTCATTCCAGTTCTTTTTTCTCTTTTACCCAGAAAGAGGAGAAGAGACGAGATGGTCCCATGTCAACATGAAGCAGTTTTTACTGCAGCAAATGGATGACAGGAGGCATTACATCTTTATGATGCGGAAAGATATTATATCTGAAAACCAACCCTGTGTATTCCTCCTGCAGTACCGAAGAAGGGAATCTGACCCATTAGTAGTATCTATGGCAGGTTCAACTGAGAAGTGAAACACAACAATGAAAATATCACCCACAGGCAAAACATACTAGTCCTTGGTTCAACTTCACCTGAAGCCCCACTGCTGTATCATATGAAGGCAAGACTTGGGGAAGGGCACACATGCTAAGTTAGCCCAGAAAATTGTCCCAGACCTGCTGATTCTCCAGCACTGTGACATTTCAGGCTTGTTCCAGAAAAAAAAAGAACGATACATTGAGTACTTTCTGACCAAAAAAAATCACCATGGCACATAACCTACCACATTTCTTGTTCTGAATAAACTGTCAGATGCAATGTCATCAAGTTCAATATCATATTCCATGTAACAACTCCAGGGAGTTTGTGACTTGATGTTAAACAACCTGCAGTATACCTGAGAGGTGCAATTCCCAGCTGCAAAAGTTGCTAGAGTTCAATGTTCCAGTTATAACTGTGTGGTAATTACATGTACAATTATTATGCAGATAGGATAGAAATAAAAGGTAGGTTCTTAGTAGCTAAAAATCAGCTTTTAAAAGAGCAAAATGCCTGGAAAAATTCAATGCATGTAATTTATAAGGCAAAGCTTCGTAGAAGTGTGATTTTTAAAAAGCAACAGATAAAATGCCACTAACAAGACCTGCTAAAGTTAATATTTCTATTCTAAGTTGTTTAAAGAGTTACAGTTACCCATTCACCATTACTATTCCTTGATCCTTGTGTTTTCTTCAAAACTGCCATAGAAGAGATAGCACAATCCATTACACGGGCTTCTTAGAGATGACAGTTTCAGTTCCATGAAGATACACAGTTTTATTTTCCTTATTCCTTGCCAAACATTTGACACAACCAGAAGGACGTGAGAGTCACACCACACTGGTATATCTGGTAAAAGCAAGCAGTCGGCTGAAAATCACGACTGGAGAATTGTGACAATTTCTGAGTCCACAATCATGCCTTAAAAAGTAGGTATCAAGCCTAGTAAGGGCATAATTTACAACTTAAATAACATAGAAACATTTGAATCGTGCTAAACCCAGCCCCAATAAGGCACAGCAATAATGTGGTTCGGGGGGTGGGAAGGTAAGGTAGGATAAAGAATGGTCAGGACACGCGGACATTCTGCGATCACAGAACACAGTAGCAAACACAGGGCACAATCACAGACATCAGCGAGCACAATTGAGCACGCACACAATACAACACTAGAATGCAATTTTTTAAGAAAAATGATATAAAAGATGGTTTCTCACCCCTCAAAACAAAACTGGAACTTTGGTTTACAGGCCCGGCTATGCCCATATGCCCTCCTCGTCATCCTGCGGCCGGCCCGAGGTGGGGAGGTGCACAGAGAGGAGGGAGCACCAGAATGAAAGAAGAGAAGGTTAGTTACACCAAGATGCACTGGAAAGGCACACTCATCTTCACTTTGTTTTTTAATCTTAAAGATCGAGGAAAAATATCCATAGTAACTTCAGTTCCACATCACCAACTTGTCAAACACATAACCAAGTTTTGTATCTATGGCAACCCCCACACAAAAACATTCCACCCACCCAGCTCTGACTCTGTGTCAAGATTGGATTAGAAGATTAAAATTAGTCTACATTAGCAGATGATTATTTTTTTGGAAAGCAGGCAATCTGAATTGCATATGCCTAAGGAGTATATTAAACCTTTTAAGTAAGCAGAGAAGTAATTATAGTAATTAAATACCCTTAATTTTTCTTAAGCTTTAAGTATCAATAAAGGCTGAAGAAGAATTACCAAAAAAAGAATCCCTCAATCCAACTCCATCCCTTTGGGTGGAATAAACTTTTTAAGCATGTGATAATTCAAGTTCGTTATTCTACAAAGGCTCAAACATGCTGCAATCTTCTTATTTGTCAGGTTCTATTTTGCTTTCGGCATGGAAGAGGCTGTGTTTGCCATGGAATGATTACACATTTGCATGGAATAATTGTACATTTGCAATTAAATAAGTTTCAACGAAGAGAGTAAACTTTCAATTCGGTAGAATTCTTGTAGAACGTTTTAACTTAAAATTGTGCTCAACTGTAGATAAACTAAAATTTATTTGGTCTGAATTCTTGTTAAAAATGTTTCCAAAATGGCTCTGGTCAATTTCCTCACTTAGTGAAATGGCCAATATCCAGGGAAATGGACTCTTTAAAGATAGAAGTATATTCACCCTGCACAGTCTTCATTTTGAACAAGTCTTACTGTTTATCATAAGGACTGAAACAATACCTATAAGCATGAGTGGTTCATAACCTGGTCTCACACATGATTTGGGAGCTGTGTCTTTTTTTCCTGAAACAGGGTCTCACTAAGTTGCCCAGGCTGGTCTTCAACTCCTGACCTCAAGTGATCCTCCCACCTCAGCCTCCCAAAGTGCTGGGATTATAGGCATGAGCCACTGCACACAGCCAGGAGCTGTGTCTTTTAATAAATCCCCAGTGAAACAAGATTTTGCCATTATTTGCTTCTTTTTTTTGAAAATAAGAAACAGGAAAAAAATAATAACTTGGAACATTTTCTCAAAATTTAGGTCCTTATTTGTCAAGTTGCTATGATACCAGGTTGAATCATGTGAAAATGCCAATACTTGACCAGTTTTGACTTAGAAAAATAGAAATTTCAAGCAGTTCAACCTAAACCTGTCAGGAGGCCAAGGTAATTTTTAACAACTCAGAGATTTAGTTGTGTGGTCTTTGAACTGACTTTCAATACAATTTGTTTCCTTTGTATTTCTATGTATTTTATTTTATGCATTTAAAACATTATTCTGAGAAGAGATTCAGAGAGTTCATCAGACTGCCAAAGGGATCTACCACCCACAAAGGTTAAGAATCCCCAATTGACTTGAATCAATCAAGGATTTGCACAGAGTCTGAATAGGATTTCTCAGTAAGAATTTTTACTTGATAGTTTAGGTAAAAAATATTCTGACAAAAAATAAGGTACATTGATCATTTTAGTTAGGTTTTCTTATGTAAAAATTACCTGTGTTCATATATTACCAAACAATCTAATAATTGTTCCTGGCAATAGACTTCTCTCTTCCCTACATGGCTTGGAGAAAAATGTATTTTTACATTCATTGAACTTCCTCTGGCCCCAGGAGAAAAGCAAAGCTGATGATCCTTTTCATAGTTAATAAAGAAGGAAAGTTTACAGCATGAGACACTAGGGCATCCACAAATGGGTTTCAAGGGGTCTAGTGACTCTTTGAAATCCAGTGCGGAATGTTGTTGAGAACATGCGTAAATATATTTCTCTGGATAGAGGCCTTGGCTTTCATTGTAAGACTCTTCACCCCCCAAATCACTGTTATAGGAAAACTCCAAGCACAGAAAGACATCATCATTTGCCAAAATCACAAAGCTAAATAAGAGGTTTTCTCTAAAATGCAGACACAGCCCCTGCTGACCGCTTCCTAAATAGCTGTAAAATAATCTTCCTTGCAGAGCAGTTTATTTCATTTTGTATTTGAAACTCAACAGCATATATACATTTAGTTTGTTCTAAACCCATTCATATAGGAATTTAATTCTTAAAGGAGAAGAAAGTAAGGAAAAAGAAAAGCCACTGCCACCAAAATGTACCACTATTTTCTTAGCAGTGAAATGTGGTCTAATGTAAATCACTTTTAGCAAATTAAATATATTAAAAAGTGGTAATTAATTATGATTGAAACAGACAGGAGTTGTAGCTTGAAAATACACACTGCCAATATCACTACTACTGTTCCTTATCCACCATAGGAATAAAAAGGAGCTCCCAGATGTCGAGGGTTATTAAAAACCAGATGTTCAGATCGACATCTTATAGGCTGGTGAATAAAGTAAAGAAATATGACAGTCCAATATAAACTTTGTTAACATTTAATATGGCAGAAATGTGAATAAATTCCTTTCATGAACTTAGAATATTATGCATTTTTTAAAGTTTTTAGTTTTTTAAAGTTTTTCAAAGAAAATAGAAAGAGAAGTGGTGGCCATTTCTGGTCTCTCTAATCTTCAAAGCTTAAACATGAATTGACCCTCATCGCCAAGTGGTCTGGGTCAGAATGAGTGTCCATTTGGGGAATTTTTTTTTTAAAATGCAGGCATTAATCAGAGAGGGAACTCCAAGTCTTCCCAAACATTTGCAGCTGTTTGCTGTGCTGCCTGCATCTCTGTATGAAAATATTAATTTGCTCAGCAATCTTACCAGTGTAAATTTGGGGACCAAAAAACAAGAAACACATAAGTACTACTTGATCCCTAACTTCATGCCAAGTTATTTAGAAATACTTGGAGTTTTAAAATGCATCTATCAGGTCTGGGAGAGTCTGTTTCCTTTCCTTGTTTTTCTCTTTCCAAATCTACTTTGCAGTGGCTTTCCTGAATGCTGTTTGTGTCTGATCCCTTGTGTATCCTTTGTGAGTGATTGCTCTGCCATGAGTTGCCAAAATATCTGGATGGGAAGAAAACCTCTAGTCCATCAGTCATCTGCATGCTTTTGTCCATCTGGGGATGGGAACATCCAAGGTGGACTGAAGCCCAGAGCACAGTGACCACAAAATATAGCAAATTCTGAAGGGGAGGAGGCGTAACTATTCAATAACCTCAGGACATATCTATAACTCCAGGATAATGTGCGGGACAAGAGGCCTTGAAGGAAATCCTGTAGTCCCAGTGCTGGGCCCTAATGGGATTCTCTAAATACTGAGATAAAACAAAATTCCTTCCTGGATGGGCTGCTCACAGCGGCTATGCTGATGACAAGATCTAAAGGCAAAGGGACTGAGTCATCATTGAAAAGCGACTAGCTGTGGTGGGGGCATTCATTAGCCCTAGCAAAGAAGCTCTGAGAAGAACATCTATAATCTAACACAACAAGTGGCCCAGCATAAACCTTGAATTGGTCTCTATTTTGAAGTATTATGTACAGCTGGCAAGCAAACTTGAGCCAATCACTGGACATATTATTAAAAGTACCTGCAATTCTCTTTGATTTGATAGCTGGCTTTTTCTTGAAATCAGAGAATTAAGTTCCTAATTGGAACCTTACTGTCACACCTGTCCTAGGAAGGAAAGAGAGTGGAACCATGGAAGCATCACTTTCTAAGAGCCTACTGCCTTTGTGGGAACTTGGCTGAGGTCTTTAACTGGAATTACCACCTGGCTTCCTGTCAGGAAGGGGCTCAAGGAGATTATCCTGGTTACAACAAGGCTTGGCTGGTGTGGCTAGTCTTCAGACCCACCTCCACCTCTACCTCATTCATGGTGTCTCTGAAACTTTCTGAAACTTCAAGCCCCAGGACTGCAGACTTGTGCTGTACAAGTCACGAAAGCAGGACCTCAATGTGGAATTTATGATTTGCCCTGAGCCTGGGTTCAACCAAAGCAGATCCTGTTTGCATTTTCAACAGCAGGCTTGGCCAGAGCCAGGAAGGACAGACATGTGTGTAAAGGAAAACAATAGGCTTAGGCATGAGCCTGGAAAGAAGGGGCACTGAGCCCAGTCAGGGCACTAATAAGTTTTCTCCTAGGGTCAAGTCCAAATCTTTCCTCTAAGGACCTTGCCTTCATGCCTTTCATCTCTCCTGCTTCCTGGAATGCTTAGCCCATGGATGAATGTCTCTGTTCAGGTGATAGGGTCAGGTATGGCTGCAAACTTTTAAATGATTTGTATTTTTTGTATTTGTTACAATCTGTGAAGTCCATTTGCAGACAAGTACACCCCCCGCCCCACTTCCTTCTCCCAAATAAAAAAGCCCTAGCAAGGTTCAGAAAACTGCTTCCTGCTCTTTTAAAAGTAAATGTTAGCTTATTTCCTAGCTGGGCTAGAAAAGAACCGGTGCATATTTGCACCTCTTTCAGGTTAGACAGAGTGCTGACAGCTTTCCGTGTTTCCTCACTGTGTCTCACCAAGGTCCAACAACACAGGTGTCGGGAGACTCTTTGTGCAGATGTGGAAAGGAAGGCTCAAGAAGGGAGGTCAGGGAGTTTTCCAAAGGACACCTGACCAGGAACTGCAGAACCAGGGTCAAATTCTAGTCTGTCTAACCACAAAAGTACACCTTTCTGATGCCACCATATTAGCTGTGAAGCCACAGAAAGAAGAGCTCATTTTGACCCCAGGCATTTGTTGGTTCTGTTCAACTCAGCTCTGAAGTACTCTGAACTTTGCACTGGCCTTTTTCCAAGCTGTTGAAGACCTTGGCTGGAATTGGAAGCTATGTCTTAAGTTGGGTCCTTCTGGCTCTTAGAAGAAAGGGGTCCTCACACACAAGTGGCAGCTGTTTATATAGATATATCAGCAGCACCCC